ATTGATGCGGTCATATTCTGCTGTGAGGTCAACAAATCAGGTATACAGTTTCCCTATAGAAAGGTAAGCAATTTCTTAGATAATATATATATCATCATTTTATCCGTTTCAGAACAAAAAACCAAACTGAGACGTGAGGTTGACTTTCATAAAACGATGAGAACCTTGTTAATATAATGTTCATTAATACTTTCACCATAATGGATCAATTGCGATCTGTATGCGTGAAGGACTTGAGGGCTACATTTTATTTCCATAATGTATTAATGGTGATAAGCCCCACTTTGTTTTTTGGCCAAGGGGTATTTCTGATTCAGACTTCTTTTATAAAATAGAGGAACTTGTTATTGAATTCTGGGAGAAAGTAAACTATTTTCAAATGTTCAGTTTGAATGTCAAGTGATGCTTTATTATTCGTTATTTTTTTTTTTAAATATCTTTCTTAATTTCCTCATCAGTAGTTTCACCATTATTTATATTTGGGAACGGACTTTGTAATACTTAGATGATTATTGATATATGTTCTATTTCTGCGGACATCTTAAGATCTCAATCTCTCTCTCTCTCTCTCTCCATATATATATATATATATATATATATATATAAAAGAGAGAGAGGCTCTGAAGGCTTGACGATAGCGCCTAAATATGAAACAGCCTGTCGCCTCTGAATGTTGACTTCAATGTTCACTTTTATATTTACATACGGTCTATCTCTGATATTGAACAATTTATCACATAAATATAGCACACCTTAAGACTAAATTTCTTCATATACATATATTTCTTCATATATATATATATATATATATATATATATATATATATATATATATATATATATATATAGAGAGAGAGAGAGAGAGAGAGATAGTAGCATTTGAGATGAGATTCAGTTTAGAATTGAAATGAGAGAATAAAAGATAGAGAAAGATTAGTAAGTAAAGAAAACTTATAGAAAGAGAGAGAGAGAAAGGCGGAAGAGTAGAGAGGGAAGAGTAGAGAAAAGGGAAAGGAAGTAGAGAAGGAAAGGTAGAGAAGGATAGGAAGAGTAGAGAGAAGGAAGAGTAGGGGAAGAGTAGAGAGGGGGGAAACTAGATAGGGAAGAGTAGAGAGGTAAAGTAGAGGGAGAGAGGGAAGAGAAAGAGAGAAGGGAAGAAAGAGGGAAGGGGGGAAGAGTAGAGAGAGAAGAGGAGAGAGGGAAAATAGAGAGGGAGAGGGGGAAAGTAGAGAGGGAAGGGTAGAGAATGAGAAGGAGAGTAGAGAGGGGGAAAGCAGAGAGGGAAGAGTAAAGAGGGAAGAATAGATAGGGAAAGAGTAGAGAGGTAAGGTAGAGAAGGAAAGTAGAGGGGAAGAGTAGGGGGGAAGAGAGAGGGAAGAGTAGAGAGGGGAAGTAGAGAGGGAAGAGTAGAGAGGGAAGAGTAGAGAGGGGGAAAGTAGAGAGGGAAGAGTAGAGAGGGAAGAGTAGAGAGGGGAAAGTAGAGAGGGGAAGAGTAGAGAGGGGGAAAAGTAGAGAGGGAAGGGTAGAGACGAAGTGTGTAGGGGGTAAAAGAGTAGAGAGGGGGAAAGTAGAGAGGGAAGAGTAGAGAGGGGGAAGAGGAGAAGAGAGAGGGGAAGAGTAGAGAGGGGAAAAGTAGAGGGAAGAGGGAGGGAAGAGTAGAGAGGGGAAAGAGAGGTGAGCAGAGAGGGGAAAGCAGAGAGGAAGAGTAGAGAGGGGAAGAGAGAGAGGGGAAGAGTAGAGAGGGTGAAAGAGTAGAGAGGGGAAGAGAGAGGGGAAGAGTAGAGAGGAAGAGTAGAGAAGGGGGGTGCAGAGAGGGGGAAGAGTAGAGAGGGAAGAGTAGAGAAGGGGAAAGTAGAGAGGGAAAAGTAGAAAGACAGAGAAAAAGTAGAAATTAACCTGGGAGAGAATAAAAGATAGAATCGGATGTTGTGAATTTAGGAAAATAGTACAACTCTTAAAAAATATGTCTGAGAATTAAAAAAATGCGATGAGGAAATTCAAGAAGACAATGTTATAGAGATAGTGAAAAGTGTATTAGTGGAAAAGAGAGAATAGAAGATGTAACTGGAGAGGGAGGAGGGAACAGCTTCATAATAAAAAGAGAGAAAGAAAAATAAAAGAAGGAACAGACGATAATGTATATGAGAGAAAGAGAGAGAGATTGAAGATTGACAATAAGAAGAGGCGTGGGAGAGAAAGAGAGAGCAGAAGAAGAATGATTAGGATATTAGACAAAGAGAGAGAACAGAAGAAGTATATGATAGCGAGATGTCAAAATGATTAATGAGAGAACAATTTTATAATGAAAGAAAGAGGGAGAGAGAAAGACAGTATTATAGAAAAGAGAGAAAATGAAGACGTGTCTGCGAAAAGGGGAGGGGACAGATTCCGAAAGATGTAAAAGTGATTCATATTGAAAAAGAGATGAGAGGGGGGGTACTGCAGCGTATGAGAGAGAGAGAAAAAAATGAGAGGACAGGTTTGTAATGCGAGAGAGCATGCGCCAGAGAGAGAGGGGGGAGAAAGAACGGGTTCATTATTTGAAGACGATCGTAGAATAGAGAAGGATAGAGAGAGAGAGAGAGAACGAATTCACAGTGTCAAAAAGGGCGTGTAATAGAAAGCGACAAAAAGAGAAACAAAAGATCATAATGTGAAGAAGGTCGTGATAGAGAGAGAGAGAGAGAGAGAGAGAGAGAGATGTGCAGATTCATATAAAGAAGAATGGTGTACTTGAATGAGAGAGAAAAACAACAGTTTCGTAATGTGAAGAAAAACTTGTATGGGAAAGAGAGAAAAAAAGAATAGATTGATAATGTGAGGAAGAATGTGTAAAAGAAAGAAAGAAAGAAAGAAAGAAGAAAGAAAGAAAGAAAGAAAGAAAGAAAGAAAGAAAGAACATATAATGTGAAGACGAACTTGTAAGGGAGAGATAGAGAAAGAATGAGTTTTTAATGTGAAGTGTGTGTGTGAGAGGGGGGAGAAAGAAAGAAAGAAAGAAAGAAAGAACATATAATGTGGAGAAGAACTTGTAAAGGAGAGATAGAGAAAGAATGAGCCTATAATGTGAAGTGTGTGTGTGTGAGAGGGAGAAAGAAAGAAAGAAAGAAAGAAAGAAAGAAAGAAAGAAAGAAAGAAAGAACATATAATTTGAAGAAGAACTTGTAAGGGAGAGATAGAGAAAGAATGAGTTTATAATGTGAAGTGTGTGAGAGAGAGAGGGAGAGGGGGGAGAGAGAGAGAGAGAGAAAGAGAGAGAGAGAGAAACCAGAAGAAATGTGAGGGAAAAGGGCTGAAGAACTATTTTATTGAAAGACGATGTATATGAGAGAACACGTAAAAGAACAGATCTCACTTGGGATTGATCGTTTTTAATGAAAGAAATGAGGGAAAGATTTATAATATCTCAAATGATTCCGAAGGAAAACAAAAGCAAAGAGAGAAATACAGAGAAAGTGTGTGTATTTTTCAAAGAACGGGTGCCTAATGGTAAGAAATGTGTAAAGAGAAAGATAACTTTTATACAGGAAGGTACATCATAACAGAAATTCAGAGACAGAACAAGAATGCAAATGAACTGTAGACAGACGGACATTTGATAAGAGAAGAGATAAGAGATAACAAAAGAAGGATAGATAGATTGATAGATAGATAGATAGATAGATAGATAGAAAGAAAGAAAGAGAGAGAGAAAATGTAAAGAATCATGATGAGAGAACGAATTTGGAAGAAAACTAAAGCCAAAAAAGAACCGTAAAAAAGAATGAGAAAAAAAAAAATGAATGAAAGACAAGAAGGATATACGGTCGTTCCTCGGAGATTTGTTTCCAGGTCCACCAGCGCAAGTACCAAAATCAACGGATACGAATATTCCTCATCTAAAAGGGCACAGTATTTACGCATCACCGACACACCTATGTAAATAGCTGCAACATTGAAGGAATTACCAGGATATTTCGGGGAGAAGTTCTCCCGTGAAGGAGGAAAAATTTGCATAATGGTAAAAATCAAATCTCTGTGCTATTCATAAGAAATGAAGACTCAAGAAAATTCTTTAAAAGAATTATTTGCGTGCACTCTATAGAACAAAAATAATTTTGAAAAGTGATAATCTGAAAAGTACTTTACTTGTAAACGAAATAAAATTAAGAATTTGCCTAAGATGATGAACACCTCAATTTTAAATTTCTACCAATAATCATTGAATTGTTGGATTTGATAACGATTTTCACCACTTATTTAATAAATGGCAAAAATTTTACATTTAAAATTATAAAGAAAAAAACAAAGTGTGCATATAATACGACAGATATGACATGTCCGGGAAAGGGATATCTTTGTTCGAAATAGCAAAATGGTTGTTGACTACTGTAACCGGGTAGGATAATCTAGCGGGTAACCGTAATGGGCTGGTCCTCGTCGTAGTGGTAGGCAATAGGCGAAGACAATAGGCGTCCTCTCTGTACCTCCACATCAGTCTGTATTTATGGCTGATACCATATTACTGTGAGGGGGAACCCAGGTGTATGCATATCCATTGCATCAAGATGAATGAAACGCGATAACAAACTTCAAACAGCGCGTGCTGGAGAGGGGAGTAACGATATGTAAAGCAGAGAACAGTTTACATTATTGACGTTTTTTTCGGACTATTGTCCTCATCTTTGTCGCCATATTTATTACAACGTTTCGGCCGTTGTACGCTCCGGCCTTCTCAAGGACACATGGCACAGTGAATAAAGGCGTTAGTTAGATCCAGTGACAGAACCCAAAGGGTGTGAGTTCAATACCCGGTTAAGGCAGTGGAGAACATTCAGAGGGATATTAACAGGAGATAACTGATAACTGACATCCATTAAACATGGCACGTGGGATTAGAACAGTCTACACCAGTGAGCGAAATAAAGGGTTCAGTTCGACATTCCAACCAACTGAAGAAGGCCAGAGCGTACAACGACCGAAACGTTGTAATAAATATGGCGACAAAGATGAGGACGAAAGTCTTAAGATTTATATGGAAGACAAGTGGGAAAATAAAAAGAAGGTTTTTATAATTTTCAGTTTTATACTGGACTGAATCACATTAGGGTTTACATACTAAAAAAAAAAAAAATTCGGACCCACTCAGCCCCACAAAAAAAGAGAAGAAAATCTAAGGTTTATTTTTTAACATTTTTTTGTTTTAGTTTTTTTCCTAATTTATATTCTTCATATTTTGAAAGCGACAAAAAAAAAAAAATCAAAACCTCTCTTTGATAATATTTTTCAAAGACGAGGACAATAGTCCGAATAATGTGAATAATGTACATAATACCTCGTCTCAGAAATATAGACAGATACTGAAGGGTGATAAATATGACAACAAAGATGAGGACAATAGTCCGAATAATGTAAATAGTGTACATAATACCTCGTCTCAGAAATATAGACAGATACAGAAGGGTGATAAGTATGGCGACAAAGATGAGGACAATAGTTCGAATAATGTAAATAATGTACATAATACCTCATCTCAGAAATATAGACAGATACAGAAGGGTGATAAATATGGCTACAAAGATGAGGACAATAGTCCAAATAATGTAAATAGTGTACATAATACCTCATCTCAGAAATATAGACAGATACAGAGAATATTTTCAACACCATTTCATTCATAAGGGTTAAACTAATTTCTCTCTTAATATTTTCGATCTGGGATTGGTTGAATCTAGGATACGAAACTCGTAGGTATGAATTATCGACTGACTAAACAAGTGGTAAAGTGCAAAACTAGGAGTCAGTGAGAAATAGGGGGAGAAAAAAAGAAAAATAATAGAAATTAAAACACTGAAGAGTGAGTGGGGAACACAGAGTGAATGAAAAGTGAAAAGGAAGACAGAATGAAAGAATAACATAAAAGGAAAGAAAGAAAGAAAGAAAGAAAGAAAGAAAGAAAGAAAGAAAGAAACAAACAAACAAACAAACAAACAAACAAGGAAAGAAAGAGAAAGACGAAAAGGAGAAATTAGATGAGGAAATAAAACAGTGAAAAAAGTAGGGAATGAGAAGGAGAGAAAGAGTGTAAAAAAGAGAAGTGCGAAAGAAAGAGGGAGAGAGAGAGCGGCAAATAAAAAAGTTAAAAAAAAAGTTAAAAAAAGGAAGACTCAAATCGAAAGAAAGGGAGAGAATTATATAGGAATGGAGAGAAAAAGTGAGAAAAAGATGTTTTTTTGAGTGTCAGAAACCAAAAACTGAAAGCACGAAGCAAAAGTGTCTATCTATGGAAGACAATGTTCCTTCTTATTCTGCATAAATTACCGACCTTGCCCAACAAAACTTTCAAAGACCCCAAATTAATGGAATCAAAACCCAATTTTAAAAAGAAACAAGAAATAAAACCACACTCTTGTTCAAAATAAACGGGGAGGCGTGAAAACTCGACGATGTTTATATAAATATAAATATATTATACAATTCAGTATTTTTTTTTTATCTTGGTGTATATAAAATGTATATAAATGTATATATAAATATATATATAAATTATATATAAATATATATATATATATATATATATATATATATATATATATATATATATATATATATATATATATATATATATATATATATATATATATATATATATATATATATATATATATAAATATATATAAATATAGGTTTGGTTTGGTTTACGTTGCTTTACGGTATATCAACCTCAACTGGTTATTTTATGTCGACATGATTTTTATTGTTCAAAAATGTATTGCTGGTAATATTTTTCTTTTTCAAAAATGTATTTCTGGTAATATATATTTTTCTTTTTCAAAAATGCATTGCTGGTAACAATTTTTCCTTAAAAAATTCATTGCTGGTAATGATTTTTTTACAAAAATGTATTGCTGGTATTAAAACCTATTTTTATGCTTTCATAGTGTTTTGACCTCAGTTTGGGGGCTAAAGATTTGCCCATAGGTGGGATCCTGACAGATGCTACCACCCCAAGGCAGGATGGACCTGGGAACACCAGCAATTAAGAGGTAGTTCCACGCTCCTCCAAATCTCCTGATCAGAGGCTTTGCTGTCAGATGTAGTTTAAGGTCTTACCCAGGACGGAAAAAAGTGGGTTGAACAACAAAAATTTATTTAAAGAAGCTGGAGATATGAATACAGAGTGTGAGAATAAAAATGAGGGAGATTAAGAACATTGACTAAAATCATGGATCAAACTTTTGCGTTTCACAAAGAAAAATATGTAAGTTAGGTGAAGAAGTCCATGAAAACGGATTTCTTGACAATAATTTTTAGTAGTGAATGTAGAGCAATGATGGATGGATTCTGATGGTGAATCATTCATAGAAAGGTCCAAGCAACTTCAGAAGAAAACAGTGCGTAATTTGAGTGATGTTTTGAGCCTGTATTTAAGAAAAAAACAAAAAAAAAAAAAAAACAAAACAAAAAAAACGTTAGCGATAGTGTCAAACGCAAAGATATTTTCTCGGACAAGATGTTTTT